AAGAGCGCGCCGGCGTTTGCGCCGGCGTTCGCGCAAGGCGGGCGTGAGGGAGCTGCACAGGGTAGCTCCTCCAGGGAGTAGGCAGCGGGCGCACCTCTGCAGTCATGGTGATGCAGACGCGGAGAGCAGCTGCCAGGGACCCTGCCCGGGGGCTGCCGCCTACCATGGGTTCTTCTGAGGCCTCCACCCAGACGGAGCTCATGGTGGAGTCGGTGGCCCCTTGCCCCTCTGTCTGCGGAGGGGGCTTAGAGGCTTAGGCTTACTTAAGATGGTAGGAAGGGCTTAGTGTCTGAAAGTCCCCTAAGTTCAGAAAAGAGCTGAACTACTGAATTAAGCAGTATTGGACACCATCCCATAAGGATAAGAACAGACTGAGGACACTCAGGACATCTTTCTTGATGAGGTCAAGATGGGTTGGTACCAGCCTCCAAAGGGCAGTTTTCTGCACCTTCACAGCATCAGTGTAATCGATCAGCAAGACTGTGGTTTTGGGCAGTGGCATAAGTCGGGCAGAGCAAACATGGCAACCAGCCTGGGCGCTGACTTGGGGTGGGATGGGTGGGACAGGGGAAGGACAAGCAAAAAAAGTGGTTGTTGACAGCTATGTGATTGCAATTGTAAACTGCAGCAGCAACTGGAAGTCACTGCTGCCCCTGTGTACCGGGCACCTGGCTAGGTCCCTATGCTGCTGGTTTTGACACTTGGTAAAGTCCTTCTGTAACCCAAAACTAGTATAAGAATGGAGCTATAGTGGCTGTTGACTCACTGTGTATCTCGCGCAGACTTGTAATCAACCTAAACTAGTGATTAGTGAAAAGATGCCTAGCAAGCTAAGTTTATGCCTCTTCTCTGTTACCGTGTGTGCTTAGCACTGCTACAGGTATCATTAAAGCTCTCCCTGAGTAGCACCAAGGGCCTAGAATGGTATAAACTCAAGTATATGCTCTGAGAACCTAATCAGCATGTGCATGCTGGTTTTGTCATTTGGATATTTGCATTGTAGGTATTTGCACAAGTGAATATTAAATTTGGTGGCATCACTTCTATAAGTTTGGTCAGACTTTCAGGTAACTACATGTAACCACATATAAAAAGTTACTTGTATGTAGTATACTATAGTTACTTTTTCTTCCTGTACATTACCTCTTCACTTAAAGCCATGTTCCTTATTCTGGCATGCCTGTGGGTATCAGGGGGGGGGGTGGGACTTTATGTCAAGGAGCACTACACATCCTCTGCCAGCAGTATGGGGTCAGGGGAAGGGCGAGCTGAAGTGCTCTGGGTCAAGATCCAGGGGGGGCAAGGCGAGAGGGATTTGACGGTGGGGGTCTATTACAGACCCCCCAATCAGGAGGAGGAGCTGGACAGGGAATTTTCAGGCCAGCTTGCGGAGACACTAAAAGCAAGGGATGTAGTTGTCATGGGCGATTTTAATTACCCGGACATCTGCTGGGAGGAGCAGTCAGCCGGGACGGACCGCTCCAGGAGGTTCTTGGCCGAGTTGCAGGACCTCCACTTGATTCAGGAGGTGCACAGTCCCACCAGAGGAGATGCTCTGCTGGACCTGGTCCTGGCCGCAGGCGACGACCTGGTAAGAGGCCTCCAGGTTCTTGACCACCTGGGCAATAGTGATCATCGCGTGCTGGAATTCACCATCCAGCGTAGAGTGTCAAGGGCCCGCAGCAAGGTGGTGGCCCTAGACTTCAGGAGGGCCAACTTCAGTGAGATGAGGAGATTAGTGGGAGAGGAACTGGGGTCCTTGAGGGCAGAGGAACTCAGCGTCCAAGAGGAGTGGTCGTTCCTTAAGGAAACGATACTCGGGGCCCAAGGGGTGTCCATCCCGACAAGAAGCAAGGCGGGCAGGAGTGTCCAAAAGCCCCCCTGGCTCACCAAGGGTGTCCGGGAATGCCTGCTTGCCAAAAGGGTGGCGTACGCCCGGTGGAAGGGGGGTGTAATCTCCAAAGAGGAGTATACCTCCTCTGCTCGGGCCTGCAGGCGGGCTGTTAGGAAGGCCAAGGCGGAGATAGAGCTCGGATTAGCGTCCAGGATTAAGGATAACAAAAAGTCCTTTTTCAAATATATTGGGAGGATGAAGAAGGCGCCGGGTAATGTGGGGCCCCTGCAGGATATGCGGGGCAATCTGGTGGTTGCGTCAGAGGATAAAGCGGACCTCTTTAACCAATTCTTCACCTCCGTTTTCTTGTGCAGGGACCGGGACTTCCCTGCTGTGATAGAAGCCGGACGCGAGGGGATCGCCTTCAGACCTCAGGTTGGGGAGGACCGGGTTAGAGAGCTTCTGGAGGGGCTGGACGCGTTCAAGTCAGCGGGTCCGGATGCTCTCCACCCCAGGGTGCTGAGGGAGCTGGCTGGGGTTATTGCAGGGCCCCTGGCACGGCTCTACGAGCGATCGTGGTGCTTGGGCCAGGTGCCAGACGATTGGAAGGTAGCTAATGTGGTCCCCATCTTCAAAAAAGGGAAAAGGGAGGACCCGGGCAATTATAGGCCCGTCAGTCTTACCTCAATCCTGGGGAAGCTCTTTGAGAAGATCATCAAGGAGCACATTTGTGATGGGCCGGCATCCGAGATGATGCTCAGGGGCAATCAGCATGGATTTATTAGGGGGAGATCATGTCAGACCAACCTGATTGCCTTTTATGATCAGGTCACAAAGGCCATGGATGCAGGTGTCGCGGTGGATGTAGTCTTTCTGGACTTCAGCAAGGCCTTTGACACCGTCTCTCACCCCATCCTAATTAATAAACTAGGCGACTGTGGCATAGATGCCTACACGGTCAGATGGATTGCAGATTGGCTGAAGGGTCGCACTCAGAGGGTGGTGGTGGATGGATCATATTCGACTTGGGGGGAGGTGGGTAGTGGAGTCCCCCAGGGCTCGGTCCTGGGGCCTGCGCTGTTCAATTTCTTCATCAGCGATCTTGATGTTGGGGTGGAGAGCAACCTGTTTAAATTCGCTGATGACACCAAAATTTGGGGGGAGGTGAGCACGCTAGCAGGGAGAGAGAGATTGCAGAAGGATCTGGATAGGTTACAGGGGTGGGCAGACAGGAACAGGATGCGTTTCAATACGGACAAGTGCAGGGTGCTGCACTTGGGTAGTAGGAACCAGCAGCACACTTATACGATGGGGAACTCCCTACTTGAGAGCACGGAGGCGGAAAGGGATCTTGGTGTCATTATTGACTCCAAGATGAACATGGGCCGACAATGCGAGGTCATGGTTGGCAGGGCTAACCGGACCTTGTCGTGCATCCACAGGTGCATCTCGAGTAGAGCCAGGGAGGTGATCCTCCCCCTCTATGCGACGCTGGTCAGGCCGCAGCTGGAGTATTGTGTCCAGTTCTGTGCGCCCCATTTCAGGAGGGATGTGGACAACATGGAGAGGGTCCAGAGGAGGGCCACCCGCATGATCCGGGGACAACAGGGCAGACCCTACAGTGAGAGACTGCGGGACTTGAACCTATTCAGCCTCCACAAGAGAAGGCTGAGGGGGGACCTGGTGACCGTCTATAAACTCACTAGGGGGAACCAGAAGGGTTTGGGGGAGACGCTGTTTCCCCTAGCCCCTGCTGGCATAACAAGGAATAATGGGCACAAGTTGATGGAGAGGAGGTACAGATTGGACATCCGAAAAAACTACTTCACAGTTAGGGCGGCTAGGAGCTGGAACCAACTTCCAAGGGAGGTGGTGCTGGCCCCTACCCTGGGGATCTTTAAGAAGAGGCTGGATACTTACCTGGCTGGACTCATTTGAGTCCCGTTTTTGTTTTTAGGGTGAGTGGTTTTGTTTTGTTTTTTTTGGGTTGTTCTCCCGCCCTGGCGGGGGGTCGGGCTAGAAGATCTATTAGGTCCCTTCCGACCCTGAAACTATGAAACTATGAGTCAGTGCTTGAGCTGTAAAGGACCGGTTTGAAATTTGAGGAACACACATTTAAGACCAGTAACAGTTTACTCTTCCTTATGATGAAACCATGAGCAAAAATCTTGTATTATAGCCTTAGGGTCTAGCAAGGCCAATGCCTGGATCCCATTTCCAATTAGAAATGGCAAAAAGCCTATTTTCCAAGCTCTGAGGCTCACAACAATTACAACTGCACTTTTTTTACATGCTTTCCAAGCCAACAATAGACCAAAAGATAACAGGGTCATATAAAAAAAAAACAACCAATGCCTAATTTAACCCTAGGCATACGTCAGAAGCCTTCAGTGGCATTGATGAACAGAGACATGCAGTTAAATTTCTGGAAGCTGCATGGATATTCCATAGTGTTCTGTAGAAAATTATTTCAGCACTTGTGATGCAGGAATTTAGGTTGTTCAAATTTGGAAATGTTTTAATAAGAAAAAAAAGGTTATTTTCCACACTGAAATATTATGCTATTTTCATCGGTTTTCTCATGCTCTGGGACTGACCTCATTCTCAAATCACACATTAGGTAGTATTTTGTTGAATCTGAGGAAACTGAAGACTAGATGGATAGGAAACAGACCATTATTTGAGAAAATAAATCTCTTGTATTATTTCCTGAACTTGTCCGTTGAGGTTTGACAAGACGAAGGATATAGGGAAGGCATCTTTCATTGGTCTATCTTTGTGGCTCCCTCTACACCTTACAGGTATTGTGCAATTAGCTGATTAATTGTGCAATTAACTGAAACTGGCTACATGTGCAAAGTACCTATCATGCCATAAAAAGGTGGAACCAGCTAAAGTTAAACCTCAAAAACATGTACTGGCTGGTTGGTATCCAACTTTAATGTGCACATGTAGCAGGGTCTCCCCTGCAGCTGGGAGCCCTGTCAGCTGACCAGGTTCCCAGCAGCAGAGATGTACCCAGCAGCTGGGACTGGGAGACTGCAGCAGCTTCATCTCCCAGCCATGGGGGTGTGTGGGGCATGACAAAAGGTGCGATTGTGTGGACTGTACATTAGATCCCATCGCACCTTTACCTACACATGTAGCGGGCCCTGTGTCTCAAAAATTTGTTATACTGAAGACTTGCTGAATACAGAGCAGAATCTATATGAAAGCAACAAAAAGCTAACATGAACGTAACTCTCTATTTCATGCACATTATTATATGCATACATAAAATGCATATACATACATCGTTACTGCAATTATTACTTACATATACTTTACCGCATGATACTATTATAATCTAAAATAAAAAAAAATTTGAG